GGATTATTTCGCAGGCTGAACAAGTAAGTTGAACCACAGATTACGGATTATTACTCATCACCTAGACTTATCTTGATATGTGTACTTATTATAGGTTCAATATAATATGTTTCATCGTGATCGGGTAGAACTAGAATATGTGCACTTGTTCAATCGGTATAAATTGGGTACCGCTATCTGGTCTCCACTTGCTAGTGGGATTTTAACGGGAAAGCATAATGAAAAAATAGCTGAAGATTCCAGGCTAGCATTGAAAGAAAATGCCGTTATGCAGAGATTAAGGGACGGATTGCAAAGTGAAGAGGGAAGAGTAAAGATAGATAAAGTCAAGAATTTAATGGTAATTTAAAAATTAAGACGTGATATGTTGTTATATTCTTTTTAACCATGAGACCTTGTATGTTATTCGTTGTAGCCTATTGCAAAAAAAGTCGGCGGTACACCTGCACAACTTGCGCTCGCATGGTAAACTTTTTATCACATGAATTTTTACGTTCGTGTTCCCTTGCTTACCGATTTGTTTCTATTAGGTGCATGAAACAGCCTCACATAGACACTGTAATCACAGGTGTTTCTAAACCAGAACAGATGGAAGAAAATCTACGCGCCATGGAGTTAGTATCAAAGTTAACACCAGAAATATTACAAGAAATCGAGGAGGTACTCGATAATCAACCGACTCCTATATTTAACTTTAGAGATTCATAACAAATATCGTTCCTAACGGAATCAAGAGTAAACCTTTTTTTGTGAAACTTATTACGGGTCAGGTGATACTTCGTCTGATTCGTTCAATTATTTTTACTCCCCACACCTTTTTGGAATATTTAAAATAAATCACCAATAATTTCACTAAATAATTCATAAGTGAATTCGACCAATCGTTTTCTGAGCTATCCTTTCGCGTGGTTTTGGTTCAATGGGCCAAATCATGACGTTTCATACTAATTTTGTCACCGACATGTTTATATAATACAAAGATCTTAGCATTCTAATAATTTATAGATTTTTTCCAAATATTTAGATTTTGATGTTAAGGATAAATAAATTTGATTTATTATTATTATTATATTTCTTCATAACTTTCAATTCCAACTATGCTATGGTAGAATATTTTCCGGGATCTAGTTTGAACAACTGACCCTTCTGGCTAAGTTTAACCGCGTGTTTGGCGTTAACTAATACGTTGAGATACTCGGTGCATCTACTACGCGTTAAGTTTGATAATTTAATAATGTCTTCCATGTACCTGTTTTTGTTGAATTTTGTGACAAATGCCTCGATGATGTTTTAATGCAAATAACAATAATAATCAAATGTCTAATACGTACTTTCCTTCCAGTGGCTTGTCGCATAGAAGCTTCAGAATTATCTCTATATTTTTTCGATTTACTTGCTGTTGATAAAAGAAAGATCGGTTCATTCTGATTTAAAAAGGTAAGTCGAATGTTGATGCAACTTTGTGCTTGACAAATACCTGTTGATCACGATATTTGGGTGGCAAGCTATCGACAATTTTCTTGATCAGCGTCTAAAAAAGAATGTTATTAAGAACATGTTGAAAGCACAAGAAGAAAAGTTGATCCAAAATTACTTTAATAGCCAATGCTTTGTTGACTTTTCTTTTCTTTGGTGGTGGTTGTGTTGGAGTTTTAAAAACTTTTGAATCATCGTTGGCTCCAAGTTGGGTGGCAGGAGTACGCGTTTTCCTGCCTGTCGTTTGCTTACGCAAAGATCTCATGGGTGTTATTGTCTTTCTGTTAGGTATTGGGGTGGAAACTGGAGTGGATTTATTATTCTCTGATAAGAAAAGATTGAAACAATTAAAATTTGATTATAATGGATAAATAAGAAAAATCTAAGATGAGATTATACCGTCATGCCTCTGAGCAAGACTTGCCAAAGTTTCCATTGTTGGTGCCTGGAATATCAATAAAATCTTATAGGTGCCTTTGTTTTTCAAAGGGAATATACCTTATACACAATATTAATTGCAACGGCTACCTCAGAAAACTCTATACAATGAGCATTCATCTTGACACCATACAAAAATGAAGAAAAGGACTTATTGAATTCAACCAAAGATTCATGAACTTGTTTGACATTAGAAAAATCTTCTTGAAATTTGACAAAGGAATTTCCGAGCTCCTGTAGTGTTTCCTCAAGACAGTCCAGTGGTGAGGAGTCATTAATATTACGAGGAACTCCGGTAGTTGAGCTTTTTAGATTGTAACCTCGTGATATTCGACGATGTTGTTCTGCCGCTCGAATCGATAAAGAGAAATTCATTATGAGATCAAGTTTGTCAACAGAACTTGTAAATTACTGTCATTTGATGACGTCACGCGTAGAGGAAGAACATCTTGGGGACGTTGAAAAAGGCCCCAAAATAAGTTCTTTGCGGTGGTTAAACGTTACGATTTTTAAAAGTTTTTGACTTTTTTAACGATGTCTGTGCAAGATGTCTCGTTTAACCAGTCAGCAAGTTCTCGGTCACAGATCAGCCAAGGACCACGTCTAAAAAGTTTACATGCCGTGTTGGAGAAAAGTCTGTCTGAAGTTTTAACCAATTTCAGGTATAATGGATCTTGTATCGACCAAATTCGTAGGTTTTTACCTGTATACCTTAAATAACCATTTTGAATTTTCAAAGTTATAAAAAATTAGCACAGTGCTTTCCCACATTAGCCAGGACGAGCCCAAATGATTTACGGGCAGCACACACACAAGTCTTAGAATTTCTTCGAAACCATACAATGGTTGGAAAATTTTTTTTAATAGATGGTTAATTTTGCTTGTATGTTTAATTCTAACTTTAAGCTTCATTTAGGAAGAATTCGCTTCCATTTTAGAAAGGCGTAACGTGTCCGAAAAATTGAATGAGTTTGACGCGCTTATCGAAAAAGCTCAAAGAGAAAGGTCACCAGAAGATCAATCACCGTTAGAGTAAGCTTCTGGATGAGTTAAGGATAAACATCGCACAAAGGAAATAGATTCTAAAATATTCTATAATTAGTTATCCTGTAAGCCCCCCAAAAATACTGCGCGCGAAAACATTGCCGATTAAAGAAGAGGAACTGAACCGACTGGAAAAAGAATTCTTAAAGGTATTCGTAGATTTTTCCAATAAAGAAAGCGATATTGCTGTAAAGAATGTAACTATAAAGATCCGAATGCATAGATGAGCGAAGAAAACGCACGTCTAATGTCAGAATTGAAGTTTAAGAAGGAACGATCAACTAAAGTGTCATCTTCTGTTCAAGAAATAATAATCGAAATTAACAAGGTACATTTATCTTCAAGTATTTCTCATAAGTTTTTCAATCACAATATATAAGAGTTTGATTATGCAAAAATAGGTGGTAGAAGTTACGACTGAAATACCCGTGGGCGAAATGCAGACCATCATCGAAACAATTAACAACAATAGGTACTAATGCGCGTTGTATTGAACATGAATTGGTCGAAATATGAAGATATGATAATAATAACCACACCATATATCAGTCTTATTACAAAATGATATTCATAGTTCAACTTATCTCGAAGAATCGTCGGTTATATTAAATTTTGGCGAAGAAGTTGAACAGACCATTAATGATCATGCATTCAACAAATAAAGGTAATTTCAATCTCACGATCCATATTCATTTTGATATGTATTATCAACATGATTTTTATTATTATCAGTCCATTTAAGATTCCATTATTTCACGTAGACGACGAACTGTTGAACGAACGGTGGTAGCAGTGGTGGTTCTAATAATTGAAATAAATCCGGTAAAAGGTTAAATAAAAAATCTCAAACATATAGAGCCGAATGATTGTTATAAAATTGATGATAGATTGTTGATAATTACGAGACTGTCCATGCACCGCCGGCTAAGACCTTTCTGCACGCTCGGCATTCCCAAATACCTACGGCCTTTCTCTTAACAGTATCCTAGAAGTTTAATGTCCCATTAATTCGTTGATCGTATAATGAACAGTGCTTTAAAAACAGATATAAGAATTAACTAGGCACCTTGCCACAAAAGGCACAAGTATACTTGGAATGTTGGGTAATTTCCATCTTTTTGATTTGTTTTCTTAACGAAGCACCATATCGGGTACCATATTTACCGACAACTCCAACCTAATGACATTAAATTTTGAATACTTTTTTTTCTTACAAGTTACATTGAATCACAGATATTCATATATGTATTGCTCACTTTCTTCGTGCGTTTGGCCTAGGCGTAAAAAAAAAAAAAAAAAAAAAAAGTAAGACCCCTGAAAAGATCAAGATAAAATTTAACAAGTACGATTGCTTTAACTCGGATGGATTCATCATGGTGATGGCGGATTATGCTATGAACTTAATAAACGTACCATTTGGTAAAATTCGACGGTCGAAACTAAATCGAAGTACTTGGTGACAACAATCTACATATATAATAAAAAATTTTAATAACCAATCAAATCCATTGATCGGCTACGAAAAGATTTTTTTTTTTTTTAATATACTATTTTATTTTTAAAAAAATCTGTACATACCAACCGATACAGTATTAATTCAAAAAATGTTAAACATTAGAATTATTTCAAATTAAATTTTATCAATAAATTAAAATTATAAAAAATTAACTAATAAATAATAATAATAATATATATATGTGTATATATGTATATATTAATTTTACATATTATTTATACTATCATATATATATATATATTTAAAATCTTTTTGTTAAAATGATAATTGGTAAAACATCGTCGTTTGATTAGAATTGTTGTTATTAGTCTTTTTAAAATGTTAATATACATGCAAGTAAGTATGTTGCTAGTTAAATAAAAAAGAAACACCTATGAAAATACATTATAATGGTTTTTGTTCATAAAATAATCTATCATCTTTGACTAAATGTTACAATAAAAAGTTCTAAATGAGAAATGAGTTTTTTTTTCATGCTATATGTTTTTCTTTTTGCTAGTGATAACAATTACGAACGAAAATATAACCAGTATACACAGGACGAGAACTGTGAAAAAAAGAAAATCGATAAGTAATATGTCGGATTACATCGCGAAATCGCAAGTCCCTTACAATTACCTCCAAGAACCGTCCTGTATTTAATAACCTTTGCAGTATTCCTTTCCATTTCAACTTGATTCCGCAATGTCATCAACTACCCAAGATTTATAACGTAAAAAGTTACTAAATGGAGACGAGGAAAAGAAAAAATGAAAGAAATAAGATTTCATACTAGTTGTTGATGTTGTTTCATCACTTCGTTTTTGTTATGAATTCGTGCTCGAATTGATGACAAATTCTCGGAGGTGAGCTCTGTAGTCTGATTTGCATTTTTGATGGTCTTTTCCATTTCTTTCGTCGACACATAATGAGAGAGTGAAATATTTTTATCCAGTTCCTTGAAAAAACGGCAAATAATTGATTCTCCATGAAAACGTTACACCCAATATAAAACATTTCACCCCGAAAGTTAAGAAATCCCACTAACTTTGGCTCGTCCATCTAATTTACGAAATTTTTGTATGCTTAAATCAAGTTGTTTTGATTTTTGATCAACGATGCCCTACTCAGATTAAAGAATGATCAACAAAATGTTAGATTAACAGTGCACGCACGTATTTACGCTCATTTGTACGTCATTAACCTACTCGCAGAGCGACGACCCTCTCTTCGTACTTGTTGCACCGATTAAGCATTTCTTCAATCACCTCTGCCGCATCGTTGTTTGATTTCAGGTGATTCATATTATCGACATTACATTAACTGTTTCATCATTTCACTAAAAAATAAAGATCGGCAAGTCAAAATCTGATGTTACGTTTGTGTTACGTTTTCGTCATATAAAATTGCGCTAATGAAACCGTAAAACTTGATAATTTTTTACAAATATGTCAACAATTGGAAACAAACCAAAGGGAATTCTCAAGCAACCATCGGTGAACTTTCAGCAGAGAAACAAGTAAAAATAAAAAAAATCCAATATTTTTATTTTCTTGGACAAATGAATTTTAACAATTAATCAATCTTCAAGGTTAAAATGGGATGAAGATAATATTCAGCTAACGGAAGTCCAGAAAAGTTCGACAATGAAAATTACTGAACCAAAAACCCCATATATACATTATAATCAAGAAACCGACGAAATTATGACAGACCTTCAAAGTGAGTGGAAATAATCATGCATATTAGGAATATATCGAATTGTTTCAAAGCTAATTCTGTCTTCCTTTTTCTTTTTTTCAGCCATCCCGGGACTGGCACTAGGATCCAGCAACACGACGTCTAATAGTCAAGGATCTAGTGGCGTTTCTCCTGTGGGTTCATTTTCATCGGTATCCCCTTCATCAGCTCATTTCCCTGATTCTATAAAGGACGATTGGGAGTCCGAAAATTCAGAAGAGGACGAAGAAGGTTTGCTATGATTTAAATGAAAAACACGAATGTTAATATTTGTTTTTATCATATCCTACATTTACCAAATTGCAAACAATCTTTCACGATAGTCAAAGAAAAACGTCGCCGTTTTGCTGAACTTAGAGCCAAACATTACAACATGAAAGAAGCTCTTAGCTTAGGTCACAAACTGGTAGAAAACAACGTGGATGATGATGAAAACAGTAATGTTAGCGCTTTGAAAGCTAAAATTCTGGGAAAAAACCCGGAAGATGATGAGGAAGAGGAAGGGGAAGAAGGTGATGATAATGATTTGACGTCAAACGGTGATGCTCCCATGGAGACATAGCACCATTATTTTGATATTATCTATTAATTGCATGATTAGTAAGAGGGAAACACTCGTTGCAATATTTTGTTGGACATTTTCAAAGCATCCTCACTTTTTAATATAATTTTATGTACATAAATAATAATTCAATGAAACCACTGAAAGGAGCAAAATTACTAGAATATACGAATTCTCTAAATATGATTTCTTGTTGATACACAAGAAATCGATTAATCACAAATTATTGGTCCGTATTATTTAAAGTCTTGCCTGATAGTTCGTTAAATCAAAGACCTTGGGCAGTTTCCACCATTATTTTTAAAGTCAAATAATGTAGCTTCTTTTTCTCATATTAATATTTTTTTATCACATGATTTTTTTTGTGTAAAACATTTTATTAACACCATTTTTTTAGATCAATTCTTGTTTTTGCAAATACATAATCAGGTTTATCTATTTATTAAATAAATTGCATGTTAACATGATTATCTACAGTATGTGCAATAATTAACATTTGACAAAATATATAAAGAATATGCTCTAAAGAAGTTTATTGATACTGTATATACCAACTAAACAATTGACATATGATAAAGCAACATAATATGTACATTTACGTAGATGCAGTATATTTGTATCGTATTTGTTATAACAAGAGTCTTGCTTCATGAAAGTTCATTAATGAATCTTAATAAAACAAAATTGCACCAAACAGAAATATAGATGAATGCCTGATTCGCAAGGCTCTACTGCCAGACGGTTTGAATAGTGATTTATGTTATGCATATAAGTCATGGCTATTGTTGCCGTTCAAACACTCAAATTTTGATTCGTCCAAAGCAAACCCATATCCTGACCAAATTTCCATCTCATCATTAGTCCGAAGCGAAGCGAAGGAATATAAATTTTTGTGTATGATAATAAAGTTTAACTTCGGACTCGACAAAGGTTCCTGTTTTTCCTAGTATAAGTGTTCTATTTTTTTAAAAAAACTTTTTTAGGGCGGCAACTATGGTCATGACGAGCATTCATTTATATATATTTTTTTTCAACATTAAGATCCAATGAAGCTTACAAAATGTGAATTGATCCGAAAAAAACGAATTATTTAATGACCTTATCAGTAGTGTTAAAAATCGAAAAATAAAACTTCAACAATGAAATTTTTGATTGTACTTTTATTAGTGCAGTAGATTTGATAACATTAAGTGATGTTTAATAGTACCTCCACATAATCAATCAGGCAGAATTATGATAATGAGTTGTATAAATCTTGTTTCATCTGTCACATTTAGAAAGAAAGAAAGAAAAAAATTAATTAATTACATCAAAAAAAATCCCACAAATCCGATCCAAAACGTTTGTCAAATATACCTTTTAACCGGATGGTTTTTTCATACACACCTTTTTAATTCAGATAATTTGCTTGTGTGCTTTTATATTGATACGTTCGACAAATTTATTTTGTTCGTAGAATCAAATGAACCCCACTGTCACTCCAAACCGGCTCACTTAACTCTCCAACTTCAAGTTTGAATGCTGCTTCCTCGAAAGAAGGTTGCATTTGTCCATGACCAAAGAATCCTAAATCTCCATTTCGTTTGGCGCTCGAACAATCAGATTCTGTACTAGCAAGTTCTCCAAGATCACATTCGCCCGAAATGATTCGCGCACGATAAGATTTGATCAGCTCAAGAGCCTCCTCCTTGGTGCGTTCTATCCTTGGCTAAGGAATATGTAACATAAATAAATTCACTGATCTTTTGCTCAGAAAAATTAAATAACGCGTCTATTTTTGAGAAAGAAGCTAACCTCCTTCCAAGAAGAGGGACGCCTACTGCCAATATGCTTGACCAACAGGTGGCTAGCCCTGATTTGCCCAACACCTCCTTCCATTGGATCAACCGACTGTACTTGTTCCACGGTTTGATCTCCGTATCCTTTAATAGTACTAGGATCGACACCATCGGGAAGAACCCATGTACTTTCTTTAGTTGCACGATTGTAATAGTAAACCATTTTACGAGTGCGGGAAATACGAGTTTCCCATTGCGTCGATACATTATCTTCTGAAGAAGGTTGAGATACGGAACTGGTGCCAGAAATATTGACTCCATTGTTTGGAGCAACATCGCCATTGTTATAAGTTCCAGTTTCGTTTTCGTTTTTGTCGGACTATTAAAAAAACCTTAAATAAGATATTTTTCAGAGTATATAAGTGCTTGGATCATTACAATATTAAAAAAATCACCATGGTTGAGATTTTTTCTGGTTTCTTGAGGTAAAATTTTGTTATGAGATATTGAACAAATACACTATACTCAATTTTCGAAAGGAATAAACTTATGTAAATTTATACAATCTTTATCTATCAGAATTGTAACATTAATGCAGACTTCACAAAATTAATGTCGTATTTTTATAAAATACTCTTTGGCTTTGAGGCTGAAAAACAATGCTCATCGACAGAACAATAAATTATTTTTTTTTTACAAAATAAAAAAACAAACAAATAATAATAATATCATCTTTAATAAATAAATAAAAATATTTTTTTTAAAAGAAAAAAACAAACAATATCTTTTCTAAAAAGAATTGTAATCGATTCGTAAGAGTTTATATTATTGAATAATTTCAATATTCATTTTTAAAAAATGCTTGAAATAAATGAATATATCCATGTATTATATATTTAATCCAAAGAGATAATTTAAAAATCTATAGATACTCGAAATAACTTAAAACATTGTTACAAGTAAAAGTCAAAGTTTATATGATTATTTCTATTTTAATTAGTTTTTTTTTATTGAGTAGATAAACATTATTTTTTTATTTATTTATATAGTATATAATATACATTTCAAAAAGAAACAATATCTTTCATGTGTATTTGCAATCAGTTAAATATTAACTTGCTTACAATAATTATTTAATTTATATTAGAAATAAATGTCTTAATTCAAATATTACAATTTGAAATTGAATAAATATTAAATATAATTTTATATATCAATTTAATTATTTATTATGTTATAAATATTAATAAAAAACTATTGTTTAATATTAATATAAAATTAATAATTTTTATTATTTATTATTAACTAATAAGTAATTAAATAAAAGTTATATTTAAAACAATATAAATTAATAAATTAATTTATTTATTATAAAAAAACTCTTTTCGCTAATTCTCTTGTCAACCCAAAAACATATGTTCCAAAGAAATTTTATATTTCTCTATAACAAAGTCTATATATATTCTCTAATAACATTAGTATTTAAAGATTATTGTTTTTTCCTATTTGTTTCTTTTCCTCTTTAATATAAACTTTTTATAATTCTATAAGTAAATATAAGAAAAATTCACTTACAAAATTAAAGACAAAAATACTTTATTAAAAAAAAGAATCTATTAAAAAAAACATCTTTCTTTTTTTCTTCAAAAGTTCAAGACTCTAAAGAAGACTATTATTGACTTTTTGAATTCTTCTTTTATCTTTCTCAAGTTCCTTTCTTATCTTCTTAAGCACATATACTTTTTTTTAATTTTTCTGAAGAATTTTGCCTATCTCAATTTGACCTTAAATTTTTGATTACACTGGAATCTCTGAATAATAATTGGTTCAAATTTGAATTAATTAATCTGTATATAACAAGAAATATAAATAAAATAAAATATATAAATCTCATATGTTTTATTTTATATAACTTATATCTGATAATATAATTAATAACAATAGAAAGAACAAGACAACAAAATGTATTCTTTGATTGAAGAAGTGATTTGATACTTTTTTTTTTCCTCTTAAATTGATTTCATTTCTCTTCAAGATTAAAGAAAGGTTCTATTCCAATTCAGTAATAGGCTAGTTCTATTGTTTATTATCTTAAAAATAGTTGAAAAAAGTGATCTTGAAACTATTTACTAGTTGAATGAAGTTAAAAATTCTTGAAGATTTAATTAAAAGAGAAATTTAAATTAAAATATTAATCCTCTTTAAAGTTTAAAAATCTTTGAGCATAAAGTTTCAAGAAATATTTTTCTAAAAGTACTTATAAATGTTCTTAATCAATAATAAAATAATATCTAAGAATTTTTAAAATAATAAACTCTGAAAATTTTTATTTCAAAAAAATTTAAAAATCTTTGAAATAATAATAATTATATTAAAATAAATATTTATTTAATAAATATTTATTACTTTCGCTTTACATATCTTCAATATTATTAGAAATAATAGAAAATTTTGACTCATTTAAATCTTCATTAGACTTGTTACTAGAGTCCACAGTTAAAAT